TGAATGGGATTGCTTCCCTGATTTCTTTTCCAGTATGTCATCGATATATCAAAAGGCTACTGATTTTTGTGTGTTAATTTTGTATCCTGCCACCTTACTGAAAGTATTTATGTACTCCAAGAGGTTTTTGGTCGAGTTTTTAGGGTCTCTTATGCATAGAATCATTTCATCTGCAAACAGGGATATTTTGACTTTTCCTGGGTTCAATCTTCAGCATGGCAAAAATAACATAAAAGTAAAAATAAAAAGTGAACACTACCAGAGCAATCTTCCAGACAAGATGTACTACAGCCAGCATGGCACAGCATGAAAGAAAGACAACTCTTAAATAGAATCTCAAGAGTGGGCAACCAGGAGTCTCTCTGTTGAGGAAACAGAGGCCTGAGCTCCTGTTCCATGTATTTATTGCTTTAACCTTTGCACACAGGGCAAACAATGTGACTTTTACTCAGTGCAGTCAGTCTTGATAAAACTTCCTCAGAACTTCTAGGTATGTTATTTTGAAGCAAAGAATTCATTTACTACAATGAAAACTAGCTAAGCATAACAGGGCTTTATGACCAGTGATCAGTGTTATTTCCTTGTACAATTTGGGGTGGGAGCACTGTGTTCCCTTGTCTGCCTCAACACACATGCCTATGCAGCTTTTGCCACATAAGGCATTCTTGACCAAAGGCACCATTGCACGTGGTCAAGCATGCATTCAGCAGAGTTTAGACAAAACAGTGTCTCCAACATCAGTTCAGGCAAATCAGTGGTCTCCAACAAAGATATACCCATATTTGTACAATAATGGCACTACTGTTGTAGGAGTAACCAACTGCTCTCTGGATTTAAGGCCTATTCCACAGGAGGAAATCCATGCCTGGTTCTATAAACCTGCTCAAAAAAACCATGGGTAGGGGGTCATAGGCCCCAGAAGGGAAATGAATACTGTTGTTCAGCTAAATTGACGTAGCATCAAACTACCATTTAAATATTTGTTAATGCCCATAGACAAATCTCTCTGTCTTAATGAGAAGCCTCTTTGTAGTGAACAGTGGTGAATACCAAAATTCATCGTTATACAAGGTGCTAAGTGTAATGGATGGATGTGTGCTCAGCCCTAAACAATACATTTATATCATCCACCCTAAGGATCAGGCAATACTGAGGAAGAGGAAGTAGAAAGAATGTAAGAGCCATAATATAGGGAGAAGGGCTGTGAAATGCCATTTTCTGGGCAAGACATAGACATTGCAATCACAAACTTAGCAGCTGTGGATGCCTGTCCTGGGTCTGTACAAGAATGGGTCCATCAACAGAATGGATGGAGGAAAGGTTCAGGGGCCCTATCCCTTGCTGATGAACTACCTGTCCAATGGTCACACAGATGCCCCTCGTTAAACTAAATAAATTACAAAACAAAACCTACAGTCATGAATCTGAGAAAGGGACTCGTAGGGCGGAGAGAGGGCTGATAAGGACAGGAAGGAGATAAAGGAGGAAACAGGGAGAGTAATTATAATGCATTTATATACGTGTATGAAATTGTCAGAGCGAAATAAAATAATTACAATAAAATTAATTCCAGTCTTAAAAAGTCACAGCAGAACTGTGTGCAAGTGGGTGGCCAGGTGACTTGGCATGATGGATGTGGGCACTCACCTGGCCCTTCCTCTCAACGAGTCATGCTTATTTGGAGGGGTGTTTGTACCCATAGATTAGTGTTGTTCTCAGCCTTGGTCAGAGTTTGTTTGCAATGGTTAATGCAGACTCCTAACTAGTCAAAATGCTGCTGAGTGCTCAGCCCTAAAGAGGACATATGTATTACCCCCTCCAAGACTCACAGAACATTGCAAAAGAGGGGCAGAAAGACTGCAGGAGCCAAAGGATGGGAAGGAATGCTGTGAAATGCTATCTTCTGGACATGAGAAGCATCCATGAATTCACAGCACAAGTGGCTACCTGCAGAAGACTGGGTTCACCAATATCCCATAATCAGTGGGAGAGGGGCACCTAAGGATATACAGGCAGTTAATGATTGTTTTGGAAAGGAAGTTATATTCCTCAGTAATGTAGCCACTGGTAAATTGCCCTTACTCAAATAATAACCCTGTACCCATGCCTATGTAAGCAACCCTAACTAAATACGGTGGAATACACACACACACACACATACACACACACACGCACATGCACACAAAGTTATGGAAGTGGAGGATCTAGGGTCTAGGATACAGTGGGAGAGGAAAAGAGAGGATAATGGGGGTGATATCAAAATACATTATATGTATGTATGAAATTGTGGAAGAGTTTTTAAATTATAGCATGGATGGGGAGGGGCTCCTGAGGCCCCACTCCTCCCTAGGGAGCTACTGGCAATTAATGGTTGCTAGGGGGGATGGGGAAACATGGCCTTCAGTGGCATAGCCACTGGTAAGTGTTCCTTCCTCCTGTAAGCAACTCTGACTAAACTCAATGGGTCACAAAACACAACGTGAAAGTAGAAAGGGACTAGCTGGAAGAGGATCAGCAGAAGTGGGAGAGGGACAAGACAGGAACATGGGGGGTAAATACGACCAAAAATACACTGATTTTGTGTATGACATTGCCAAAAAGTAATTTTGGAAGGAAAGAAATCTATTTTAAAATGTTCCTGTCCATTTTCCCAGGGACTCTTTATTCTCACCTATACTATGTGAAAATCTAAAACACAACAATGCCAAGTGCTTCTGCAAAACATTGGGAATCTAAATATCCAGAAGATAGGGAATGGCTACATACATTCTGCTTTATTAAAATGATGGAATATTATGAAGCCACTGATTTATTCAGAATTTCTATAAAATACCAAAGAATTTTAGTATCTAATATTAAATAGAGCACAGAACTCAGTAAGTTTCAGTATTACTAAAAATATTGAACAATTCAAGGCTGGAGAGATAGCTCAGTGATTAAGAGAACCAGTTGCTCCTGCAGAGGACCTGAGCTTGGTTCCCAGCACCCACATGGTGGTTAACAACCCTCCATAACTCCAGTTCCAGGAGATCCAACACCTTCTTCTGGCCTCCACAGGAAGTGTACAACATGAGTACACTTACATACATGCAGGTAAAACATTCATATACATAAAATAAAAATAAATTTTGAAAAAAAATTTAATTGAAAAATCCACTGGAAAGAAATGAACTAGAATATTGACAAGTCATCTCTGCTTCTAATGATTTTCTTTACTTTCTACAAGCTCTTTAGTCAGAAAAACCATGCACTCTCTTTCTGTTGACTAAGTAAGACAGGTACTTTCAAGACGCTCCTACAACTAGTTTCTGAACAACCAAGAAAATCAAAACTATGACTATTAAAGCTAATACTTAATTCCAGATTACATTTCATTTTCCCTGATACTAGAACATAGACTGTAAGGAAGAAACAAAAGGAAAAAAACTTGAATGACAGCTATTTTTATAAATACACATACAAAATAAAAGCTAGAAAGAGCTATAAAAATATTGACAGAAAATATTGTTAGTGAAATTATATGGCTTTTAAATTTTAGCTTAATTTTTATTATATGTTCTACAATGAACATGTTACTTTCATAATAAAAAAAACTGCTATCTTTCTAAGAAATAACCACCAAGCAGATTACAGTATATCTATCAATGTACTATCAATGACTATTAAAAATGTATAGAAGCGTATTTAGTAGTATAAAAAATTCAGATATGCTATTAGCTGACCATACTATAAAACAGTACGTTCAGAATGATCCCAATGCCATTTAAAAACAAACAAGTCTATGAATACATAAAAAAAACCTTGATAATAAATGTACCAAAACATTAATAGTGTTTAAGTGGCAGAATTATCTTTTTTTTTTTTTTTTCCAGTCTTTTTGAGACAGGGTCTCCCTGTAGCCCCAGCTGGCCTGGAACTCACTATGTAGACCAGGCTGGCCTTGAACTCAGAGATCCACCTGCCTCTGCCTCCCAAGTGCTAGGATTAAAGGCGTGTGCCATCACACCTGATGAATAATCTAATTTTTAAATCATTTGGACATCTGATAGTTTGGTCAGTTTTCCTCTACTGATTTTCTGATATGTGGAAAAAAAAATCTGGTTAAACAAAAAGTTACCTTGTCAACTAACAAAGGAATAGACAGCAACAAGCTTCCCAGCTCACCCCGCTCCAGAGTGTATTAACAGGATGCTTGTCTTCTAGCATCATGACAGCAGTTGGCATAAATCACTTCTCCTGTTCAGAATTCATTAGGCTTGGGAGAAACTCTGACTCCCGCTGCAGAGGCCACTGCTCCTGATGCAGACATCATCTGGAATCTTTTGTCTTGTTTACTTTTGTTACAGTGCTGGAGATCAAACTCAGGGCCCTGTGCATGCTAGGCTAAGTGTTTGACCACAGAGCTATATTCCCAACTCTGCATGGAGCCTTTAAAAATCAGACCCTGGTATAGAATAGGGTCTAGAGGAAAAACAATGTGAAAGAGCGATGAGTCTGATTACAAGTAAACATAATTTGCAATCATTTGATTAAGGAAATTCACTATTTACACTGCACATAACACACTCACCAGGAAATTCTACCCTCAGACCTGACAGAGACCTCTTAGGTCAGCAGAAGACAACTTCAGGACACTGCCTTTAGGCTGCCACATAAATATTGACTGGAAACAATATCAGAGATGTCAGGCTAGAGAATCTTAAGTAAACAGTTCAAAAGCCTAGCTTCCTGTTTACATCATTTGAAGTCACTTTACTGCTAGCCACCAAGTGATTCAGCATTCTGATTTAATCTAAGAATGTCTTGATTTTCCACATACTAAAAGAGACTACAAAGAACAGCTGAAAAGCCAGAAGACACAGGAAGGAACAAAAATAAATACAGACATGTGTCCTCCAGCCCAAACAATGAGGAATCTGTGCAACTAGACTCTCGGTTCAATCTATTTCCAGATCACTGTCTTCACTATGACAGGTGGCAGAGTTACGCACAGATGTCAGCACCAAGACTTCCTTTTCTGGGAGTAATCCAAATTCCTGCAGAAAAGCTTCAAGGTCCACAGCAAAGAAATCCTCCCCGAGCTGGTCAGTGACACGAACAAAATTGCCAATCAATTCGCCCCCTTTGTAGATGAGTAGAGCAGGAAGGGCGTTCCGGGTAAAGCGACTGCTAGCCCCAATAACTGAGCTCTTCACACGACAGAACTTGACAGCCGGGTACTCTGTGGCAAGGCAGATCATGCAGCCATTCATGGCTTCAGTCCCTGGAATGCCATCCTCATAAATATGGACCATGATGAGAATGCTTTTCTGCTCTTTATCAATCATGTCTAAAAACCCTTCTCCACTGGGGATCTCAAAAACTTGCTTGAATTGGGGCCCTTTATGTAACTGCTGCCGCATCTCTTCCATCCTCTGCTTCCGGTACTGCTGCAGAAACTCTTCATCATCCTGGTTCTCATTCATCATAGCGAACTCCTTCAAAGTCATCTGCAGGAAGACCAGCAGGTAAACACAAAGATTCACTGAGCATGTGTGATAAAAGGGGATATGAACCTTGTACTTAGAATGCAGGAGGCATTTTAAGCACATTATATCTCTCTTAAAATTTTTAATTTATTTATGTTTGTGTTTGTGTTTGTGTGTGTGTGTGTCTGTGTCCCTATACTGTGGTGCTCTGTGTGGAGGTCAGAGGAAAATTTGCAAGAATGAATTCTATCCTATTACTTGGGTACCAGGGATCAAACTCAGGTCATCAGGTAGCAAGCATCTTTATCTGCTGAGCTATCTTGCTGGCCTTCTCTCGCTCTTTTTTTGTTTGTTTGTTTTTGGTTTTGCTTTGTTTTGTTTTTTGTTTTTTGAGACAGGGTCCCCCTGTAGCCCCAGCTGGCCTGGAACTTTGCTATGTATACCAGGCTGGCCTTGATCTCACAGAGATCCAATTACCTCTGCCTCCCAAGTGCTGGGATTAAAGGTGTACACCATCATGCCTGGCCCCTTCTCTCTTTTTTTAAAGACAGGGGCCTATTATGTTGCCTGAGCTAGCCCAAAAATTCCTGAACTTAGGCAATCCTCTTGCCTCACTTACCACCATACCTAGCTATCACTGAATTCTCAAAAGTCCTCAGCAAAGACTTTAATAACTCCATTTTATAAATGGGAGTTTTATCCCCAAGACTGTATATAATTTGCACAAATTCCACATGTAGAAAGTATAAAACTAAGAATCAAGCTGGATTTTAAAAAAACAGATTTTTAACTATAATACCATACTGCCGCCTTATCCAAACAGGCAGCATCACACATCACTTTGATTATGCATATTCTGTCAGTTTTGATAAGATATTATTTTAGTCACTTTATCCTTTTTGAAAATACAACAGGACATTAAGGAACTTCAAAATGAACATTTCTAATCGATGCCCTGCATAATACCAACACGACCACATGACAAACACACTTTTTTCCCTTCTTTTTCTTTTTTGAGATAGACTCTCCCTATATAGCCCAGGCTGGTCTAGAACTCACTATGTTCCACACAATCTTCCCGCCTCAGACTCCCATGCACTTGAATTACAGGCAGACACCACCATGCCAGCTTTTTCTTTTATTTGCCAGTCAACTTACTGTAAGTTTTGCTTCTACAGCAGCAGCTGTACGTACTGTCTCTCGGTAATGTTAATAGCATTCATAAATATTTCCTGATGTTTCCAAACACTTTTATAAACTGATGCACAATGTCTAGTATTTTATTTAGCCTTTCCTCCAACTTCTTTTCCCACAGCCAGGCAGTTTCCAGTTCTATGCTATTACAGGCAACTCAACCAGTCAGGGATGCATTGTCACATAACTATTGCTTCATTCTGGTCTCTGCTCAGCATAGTAGCTGGGAAGGGCAGGTGCACTGTGCTGCAGGCAGTTTCTATGATAGATATCATCCTTCTCCTGCCCTGATACAGCAAGACATCTCTGCCTACTCTTGTATGGACTAGAGGTGGTAACCAGGGACCACACTAGACTGGACACTAGGTCAGGACTGTGTCATAGCTAGCCAGCATTCTTCTGAGTTCTCTAACTTATTACTGATCTCCTTCCCATCACACAGCTCTCCACTCTAATTTGGCCTACCTGACTGGGCCTAACCTGTTATGGCCTCTGTCCACGTTCCATGCCCTGAAATCATCCTCTTGGTCAAAGTGAACAACTCTTGGCTTAATGCTCTATCTGTACTCTCATATTAGCTGACTTTTTTAGTGTAATTTATTGTTATTATGTGTTTGTGTATGCATACAATGATGTATCTGTGTGAACATATCCTATAGCACAAATGTGGTGGACAGAAGACATGTTTGTGGGGTCGGTTCTTTTCTTCCTTTACATGGGTTCCAGGGACTAAACTCAGGTTGCCAGGTTTCCACAGGAAGCATCTTTACCCACTGAGCCATCTCATTGGCCCCAATGGCTGGTATTTTTAGCTTTGGGCCACAGTTAACTGATTTCGGGCACTCCCAGACATTCTTCCATGTCAGAGAGTGCAAGAGAAACCTCTAAATGCTGAGAAAGTGAGGGAGAGTCAGGGACCCAGGCCCAGATGTCTCCCAGCAAGTCTGTTTCTTCTACTGTAAGATGCTTCCACAGAAGAAATGCTCATCAATGGGATTTAGATGGGACAGGGCAGTATCATGCAAAGAACAGGAAAATCTGAGTTTAGGACCTTAGCTCTAACTGCATTATGGGTGGAATTACTCTAAGCAAGTCACCTTCCTACTCTAAGCAGAGCTTTTATTATCTAGAAACTGATAAACAGCATTGTCTTTAGAGGGATATTCCTGGCCCAAAACAAGGCTTCAATAAAAGACAAGAAACTGCCATGTGTGGTGGTGCATGCCTTTAATCCCAGCACTTGGGAGGCAGAGGCAGGGGGATCTCTGTGAGTTCGAGGCCAGACTGATCTACATAGCAAGTTCCAGGCCAGCTGGGGCTACAGGGAGACCCTGTCTCAAAAAGACTAAAAAAAAAAAAAAAAAAAAGGGACAAGAAACTAATATGTACTCCACACTTTCAACTGGCCAGTTTTTATGATGAGCATTTCAACCTCACAGCTCTGGAGGAAAGGGGCGCACTGACCTCATTTAACCAATGAAAACATGGATGCAGAGAGGAAGACATTTTAGCAAAATCACTTGTAGCAGAGCTGAGAACAAACCCAGGTGAGTTATTCTCCTGCACTGCAAAGCCTCCCGGAGGCCAGACACACCTTTCTCCACTTCCTGAATCACAAAGCCCAGTTCTAGAAGCCTGAGAAGCTTCTGAAAAAGCCTGTTACCTTCCCACTGATCTTCTCCTGGAGGTCCTTCTGCTTCTGTTGCTCCTCCTCTTCATCCAGATGGGACCTGCAGGTCATGGACAACTTCTTGATCAGCCTCTCCATCTCCCGGCACTGCTCTTCCCTCTGCTCTGTTTCCAACTGCTTGAAACGGCGCCAGTCATTGATAACACCTTTTGGACCTGAGTAGGGTGAACATACGACCAATAAGAACAGGCAAGGGACTGTGTGACCAGCTGACACCTGTGTGAAGCTTGCTCTATCTATGACAGCTAACACAGAGCCTCTGCGTACTCTGACACAGGGCACAGTGTTCTATACACAATGGGGTCTACTGCAGCTACTACTGCAGCTAATGCCAAGCTAATGCCCAACATTAGGAAATATTTGTACAAATTATGGTTCATTTATTCAAAGGTAAATAAACACTTAGGAAAAACAAGACAACTCTAGGCTGGGTGTGGAACCCCATGCCTGCAATTCAAGTATTCCAGAGGCAGAGTCAGGAAGATCACATGTTCAAGGTTAGTCTGAGCGATAATGAGATCCTGTCTCCAGAAACCAAGAGCTAGGAATATAGTTTAGTGTTACGAGCACTTGCCTAGCATTCACAGGACCCTAGATTTGATCCCCAACACCAGGGGGGAAGGAAGGAGAAGATGAGGCAGTTCCGTATTTCTTGCCATGAAAGATACTCCAAATATATTACAAAAAGTAAATGATAAGCCAGGCATAGTGGCACATGCCAGTAGTCCCAGCTACTACAGAAACTGAGAATGGAGGCCCACTTGAGGTCAGGAGTTTAAGACCAGCCTGGGCAACATAGTGAGACCCTTCCTCTAAAAGGAAAACAAAAATAAGTTATCCAGTAACAGCAAAAATCAAGAAAGTTTATAACAGAGTAGGAGGAAAAGAATAAGGACAAGTACTGTACTGCTGGTTAAATAGCGAGTTAGTGCCACCTCAGCATAGCAATTTAACAATATTAAAATGTAAGCATGTTCTACCTCAGTGGTGGAACACCTGCCGAGCATGAGCAAAGCCCTGGTTCAGCCCCCAGAACTGGAAAAAAGAATAAAAACAATAGTGTAGGGCCTGGCAAGATGGCTCAGTGGGTAAAGGCACTTGCAGTACAAGCCTGATGACCAGAGTTCAATCCCTGGAGCCCATGTAAAGGTGGAAAGGAGAGAAACAACTCCCCAAAATTGTCCTCTGACCTCCACGTGGGCACTGTGGAACGCGTAACCCCCCACATACCCAGCTGGCCTGGAACTCCCTATGTAGACCAGGCCAACCACGATCTCATAGAGATACGCCTGCCTCTGCCTCCTAAGTGCTGAGACTAGAGGCCTGTGCCACCAGATCTGGCTAAAAAAAATGTTTTTGAATAGTGCAAATATTCCATTTCTAGGAATGTATTCAACCAATATACTCATGGACGATTTAGGAAGTATCAAACTATTAGTTTGAGAAGCAGGATCCAAAGCCAGTCCAGCTTGTTCCCATAATAAAAAGACTAGAAGTACACACAAGGAAATGACGCTAGGTTCTCTCTGGAAGTGGGACTGGAGTAGGAGAAAAAGGAGACTTCTAACTATGCTATAAAGGCCATGTTTTGAGCCTGTCTCCAGTACCTGTATTGATTGAGATGCCTTCGCCTGCCAGCTCAGCCTCTGCAGGCATGGAACTGCTGGCTGGAGCACCCCTGCTTCTGCCTTTCTCTTCGTGGTCACTGTCCTCATCCTCACTGGTGCTGTAGTAGTACTGCAGCTTCTCTCCCAGCAACTTATCATCCAGGGTTGTCATGGCACCTGCAAGAGGGCAACATATCAGGCTTCTTTGCTGGCTTGAGCAAGGAAGACATGAATTGAGCAACAGGAGGCATGTTTGTGCTGAATTCCTACAATTTCCAGGAATCTAAGTCTTTTTATAAGCAGAATCTCAACAAACCACAGCCATGAATTTATGTGATAGTTTATTGTGCTCTTGTTATAGAAGGCAAAACTGAGGCCGAGATACGGGAAGTTTCTTTGCCATGCTCTGCAACAAATATTGAGCTGTTAATAAACCCATGAACGTCTGACTCCTGGAGCCGGACAGGTACGTTACTATCCTCTCATCAAGTGTGCTTGGACTGGCACACTGGCTAAAAGGAATCTACTTTATTGGACAGTGTTTTTCATTTATGCTTATGGTTATGGTTTTAAGACTGCTGGCTAACAAACTAAGGGGAAAGAACTCAGGAAAAAACTTCAAAAGGAGCCATCAAGGGTATGCTGCTGACACTAAGTCATTCACTTCTCTGCCTCACTAAGGCCCTAGATGATGGTCTCTGGAGCTGGACAAATTCTGACTAGTCAAAGCAAGGTTGCATGAAAAGACTTAAATAACCAGATGTTTAAAGAATCACACCTAGAAGGCTCATGGAACATAGTAAAATGGAGGAGAGGGAGTAGAGAGAAAACCAGTGCATCCCTCAATTCTCACCAGTGAAGCTTCCTTATACAACAGAGTGGGATACACACAGAAGGCCACAACTGGCCAACTTTTAAAGAATAAGAGACTGAAGAGTGTGTTGTGTCCCTGGATAGGACTCCTATATTAAACCTCTCCCACCCCCAGCTCAGGGACCATTGCAGAAGAGTGGGCAGAAAGACTGTAAGAGCCAGGGCTGATTCATATACATAGGGACACAGAAGCTTTCAAGCCACTGGAAGCTTGCACATGTGAACTTGTGGCAATGGTGGCATCGAGCACAGGACCCATGCCAACTCAATCAGACAAGGGCCAGAGTGGAGCAAGGGAAATGGGTGGTAGGCTGGCCCCAGTCTGGGAACTATTGGAGACTGATTACTACTGGGTGAGGGGGAGTAGGCTTTACTTATGATCTCTGGATAGACTGACAAGACTCCAGTGGATGAATCTGCTCCGAAGGACACCTGGATACAAATGCTTGACAGACAGAACTTAACACTTAAGGCGGAATACATGAGTCCAGTTGGGGGGGATAGGAGGACATGGATGGGGAAAGGGGGGGCCTAAATTTGATTAAGAACTATTGTATGAAACGTACAAAAGCTCAATAAAAAAGTTTTTTTTTAAAAAAAAAAGAACCACACCTAGGACCAGGCTCATGCATCAGAAGCAGCCCCGGCCACTTTGGGGAAATGGTACAGTTAACTCCTTACAGGTCCCTTTGCAGATACAGCAGGAACCACGATAGACAAAAATAAAACTACTCCACCCTGTAAGGGCACCAACTCCATGCTGCCTTCATGAGAAACAACACACAGCTCTTACACTGTCATAGTACCTCTCTTCAGGGCAACGGGGAACCCTGGACTTCCACATCTGCAAAACCCAGCATCTGCACAATTTCGTAAATTCAGATAAAAGCAGCAGAATCTGACGGTCGAGACAGAGAGCATGTGCAGAGGGAAGAGTAGTCAAGAGAAAGGTGCAGGCGCCAAGGAAGGTTAGAATAAAACAGTGTCAGAGATGGGCCAAAGGGATGCCAAGGGAGAGAGATCAGATGTGCACTGGGTGAAGGCAGAGGCCTGGAGTGTATCTAGGAGGCAGGGCCGCTGAGGTGAGGAGGCTTGCCCAGGGGCCTTGAGAAGCGGCCAGAGCAAGGCCAGCAAAGGGCTAGCAAGAGATGGAAATAGTGAAGAGGGAGGGGCTGGCCAGAGAGCAGGGAGGAGGGCGGGGCTAACCAAGAGCCGGGAGGACAGCGGAGCTGGCCGAAGAAGGGGGTGGGGAAGACGGCGGGGCTAGAAGAATGGTGAAGAGGCAGGGCACTGAAGGCGGGGCTAGCCGAAGGGCACGCTGGGAAGGCGTGTCTAAGGAAGGGCGTGTTGAGGTCATTGGCTAAGGAAGGAGACTGAGGGCGGGGCTAAAGAAGGGCGCTCAGAGAAGCGGGCGGTAGGGAGGGTGGTGCTCAGGGAGGGCGGGTTGAGGGGGGGCAGTGCCAGGAGAAGGGCGGGACCGGACGAGGGGCTAGTGAGTTGGTCCAGGAAGGGTTCCCCTGGGGACACGCGGGCCTGGGGCGCGGGGAGGGGCGGGGGGGGACCTGGGAAGCCAAGGGGAAGTGGCGGTGGGCAGGGGACCAGGACCTGGACGTTGCAGATGCGGTCCCCCCGAGGCCCGCCAGCCCCCTCCACCCTCGTCTAGGCCGGCCGCTTCCTCCCGGCGCACCCCAGGGCGGTCAGTTACCTGGTCCTGCTCAATCCGGTCCCCTGAGCCAGCAGCTCCAGTCGCTTGAGGTGTCCTCACTTAGCGGAAGAGCAATGGGCGAGCGCAGAAGCTTCGAGGGAACCAATCAGGCAGCCTTCCGGCGTCAGGACGGACGCGGGCTGCCCAATTGCAAGAAGCTGCTCCAGGCCACTGAAGGCGGACTACTGGTCCTCTCTTAGGACAAAATACCTCGATATTAGGTTTGCTTTCTCCTTTAGGTTGAAATACTTTTAACTATTTCTAGACTTGAACAATAAGAAAATTATATTTACTTGCCGGGCGCGGTGGCGTACGCCTTTAGTCCCAGCACTTGAAAGGCAGAGACAGGCGGATCTCTATGAGTTCAAGGCCAGCCTGCTCTACATAGTGAGTTCCAGGACAACTGGGCCTACAGGGAGACTCCGTCTCAAAAAGACAAAAGAGAAGAGAAAAGAAAGAAAATTATATTTACTGCCCTTTCAAGTTTCCTACAGGGAGACTCCGTCTCAAAAAGACAAAAGAAAAGAGAAGAGAAAAGAAAGAAAATTATATTTACTGCCCTTTCAAGTTTCTAAAGCAATTCCAAATGCATTTTTATTGGTTATGTCCTTTAAAACAAAAATGACTGGAAAACATTAATGTAGTCAAGAATACATAGCTCTAAGTACAGAACAAGTAGCTCTGAGTACTACATTAATGTAGTCAAGAATACATAGCTCTGAGTACAGCATTAAACAATTCAAATCCATGCCCACTACAACCAAAAGCTGCATGACATTCTGAATTGGATTTTGAATTTTTTTTTTTCATTTGTCTGTGTCTGTGTGTGTCTGAGTGAGTGTATGCCACGTGGGACAGGGGTGCTCACAGAAACCAGTAAAGAGGGCATCCGATCCCCTAAAGCTGGAGTTAAAGAGACTGTGAGCTGCCTGTTATGGGTGCTGGGAACCGAATTTGAGGAATCTGAAAGACCGGCAAGTACACTTAACCACTGAGCCATTTCTCCAGCACCTGAACTGGATTCTTGGACAGAAAAGCACATGGACAACTGAAGAAATTTGATTGTTTTATCAGCTAATATTAGTTAATATTAAATTAATTTACATAATTTACTATAGTTAGCTAAGGTGGTAAACTTTAGAAATTCTAAATGAAGAGATTAAGGAAACCCCATCCAACTTTTGCAACATTTTGTTAAACCTAAAAAGGTTCAGACCCTGAGCCTTGGCTGAGGTGTCCAATCCACAACTGTGAGATTACTCACAAAATCTGTGTAAAAATTAAATCAAACAAAATATGCTACCCTGATATTGTTTGAAATAGGGCTCTTAATTTGGAAGAGGTTCTTAATTTATCATTCTAGAACCACCTAAAATTTCTACAAATGTATGTGCATATTTTTCTAAGAAGCAATTTGTACAGGCTATCAGAGACAGAAAGGAATCCCCAAATTTAAGAACAATTCATTTTTAAAAACCTATGGTGGCTTATGTATTTTTGTTTGTCAAGTGAATTCCTCACTTTATTGTAGGCTATGTGTGCATAAAGTAGACTTTGTGATCTGATTTAAGTGGCACAGACAGTACTCAGAAAGAATGCCTCTGCACATCAGAGCCTTAGAGGTATTTTTAAATGAATATTTCAGGGCCATAGAGATAGTTCAGTGAGCAAAGGCATGTGCAGCCGAGTCTGATGACCTGAGTTCAATCCCTAGGATCCACATAATGGAAGAACTGACTCTCCCATAATGTCCAATGTCCAATGACCTCTACACAGAGTGTGGTGGCGTGCGCATGCACATACACACACACACACACACACACACACCAATACATACATATATATATATATATACACACACATAAATACATAAGTGTAAAAAATGCTTTAAGTGTATACTCAGTAAATGCCTTGGTTTTAAATTCACTTTTACTCAGTTTTCAATGCAGACGTCATCTTCATCCATGGCGATAACTTGTTCTTCAAAGTTCATTTTAAATTTGCTGCAGTGATCTTCAAAAGAGCCTTCGTTGCTGCCCAACAATCTTACATTTCCCTGGGAAGTTTCCTCTCTACCTCTCTAAGAAAAGTGATTTATATTTCTTCTCTTAAGCTTCAATACCTCTTACCTCCCCTGCCTCAAATAACCTTGAATCTTATTTCACCTGAAAAATAAAAACAGTCAGGAGACTTGCACTTGATTCAACAACCAAAATGCAGCAGCATTCTCCTGCCTAGCTGATAGTTTCGTAGTGGTAGTTTACCCTAGGTAGATACCCCTTCCTAGTCGTAGTTTCCCATTCCTTGAGCTAATAAGGCTGCTTCTTTCTTCCCTGCTTTCTCAGGCTTCCATTCCACAGAATATTAATATACTTTCTCATCCATAAAAATATTCTTTGAATGAGGCTGGGGAGATGGCTCAGGGGTTAAGAGCTCTGGGTGCTCTTGCGGAGAACCCTGGTTCCATTCTGAGCACCCACATGGTGGCTCACAACTGTCCCTAACTCCAGTTCCAGGGGATCCGATGCCCTTTTCTGACCTCCGTGGGTATTGCACTGCAAGGGTGAATTTGCACACATCCAGGCAATACACTCATACACACAAAATAATAAAATATTTTTTAAAAATATTCTACAACTATTTTTTATACCATTCAGATTATTAGAAGTTCAAAACGTTGATGAGACTCAGATTGTTTAGAAAACAATGCCTGATAATGGCATAAATCAATTGAATGGATGGAAATTGAGAAGAATCTATCAATATTGAAAATATATATTATATATATATATATATATATATCTTTTAGCTTAGTCATTCATCCTTTGTTAATCCTATAGATAGGATTGCATGGATGTTTTGTTTAGTTTATTAAAGTAATTGAGTGTGGAAGCACATGTGTGCAGACCCAGCACTTGGACACTGAAGCAAGAGGATCACCTGAGCCCAAGATTAGTGTGGGCAAAATAGAGAGACGCTATCAAAGCAATTAAATCGGTATCTGTTAGCTTGCTCTTTACATAAAAAACGGTACAAACAACATTTATATATACATATACATAAAGTGTTCACAATATGCAAGAAATAAGTTATCTTTGCAGAGCAAGTGAGAATCAGAACTAGAAAGGACACTTTTTTACAGTTTTACATGTAATTTTTAATTATCTAAAAGGTATTATTTATTATCCAAAAATTAACCTTAAAAAAAAATAAAAGCTACTTCCTTCTTCCCCATTCCTTGTGGCCACATCTCAGTTTTCTGATACTTTTTACAAGACCCCAAAAGTTCTAGATATCCTTTCCCCCATTTATTATCTTTACAACGTAAGTGTCTGTTCCCACCAGTTCATTGAAGCCATGCACATGCAACAACCATAAACTTGCCTGGTACCAAGTCTGTTGTCAAGTCTCAGTCCTGCTCTAACTGAACCCCTTGGCAATGCTGACCATCATCACTCCTCCTTCAGTAGGTCCACTTCTGCTTTTCCCCAAATTCACTGAGATCCTCAGTGAACTCTGCTTCCTTATCTCTAAATAATGCTATTCCCCAAGACATAGACACACAGACACACACTTTACAATTTTATTATATTTCTGTGTATGAGTGTTTTGGTGCATGCATGTAAGTGCACCACATGTTCAGTGCCCACAGAGAGCAGAAGGCAGCATTGGATTCCCTGGAACTGGAGTTGAAGACAGTTGTTAGCCATCATGTGGGGGCTGGGAACCAAACCCAGAACCTCTGCAAGAATAGCAAATGATCCTAACCGCTATCTTTCCTGCCCACATACATTCATTCTGCTGAAAGAATAGCTGGGAGGTGGTAAATTATGTGCAAATATATTTACTCATATGAAGAACAGTCAATAGATGACTATCAGCAGAGGCTTTAAAAAAAGTGATTCATAAAAGAAGTGAAGTGAAACATTGAGAAACAAATGAATCATGTACACTTTTCGGGAATGAAAGTAGCAGGCAGTTTTGGAATCAGTAGGGCTAGGCAATATGCCTTTGGAGTCAGGGTAGGGCCAGGCTGTCTGCCTTTTAAGCTGGATAGCTCAAGTCATTAAGGAAAATGATAGATGTGTATGTATATTGTAACCACCTTCATTTTTCTGGTCAAATTTTCTTGTTAGCCATAGTTCTCTAGATAAAGAGAACCAATAGGATGGACTGATGGATGGATCAAGAGACACATAAATAGGTGGAGATATAAATTTTTTTATTATTTTATGTGTATGAGTATATTGTTTGCATGTATGTGCGTGCACCCATGTCATGCAATGCCACGGAGGTCAGAAGAGGGCTTTGGAATCCCCTGGAACTGGAGTTAAGGACAGTTCGCAGCCACCATGTGGTTGCTGGGAATCGAACCCAGATTCTCTGCAAGAGCAGTAAGTGCTCTTAACTACTGAGCCATCTCTCCAGCCCCTGAGATATAAATTATAAGGAATTGGTTCATGTGATTATAAGTGATTATGAAAGTTAAGAAATCCAGAGATCTTCAGTTCACAATCTGGGGACTGAAGTGAACTAATGATGTAGTTTCATTCTGAATCTCTAGTTACTGCTTGGTTTTTCTGTGACCCTAAAACTGCTTGAAAGCACGAAGTGTATTTTTAAAATATGTGTTTTCTTTTTAATGAATTTCATCTTGGCTGGTGAGCAGAGTGGACTATTTGGGTAAATGAATTTATATTAGTCACTGGGTAGTTGTTACTAAGTCTAACATTTTAGTTCTTTGCATATTATTTGGGTCACAGAGAATAATAATGGATTATACATTTTGAGTGAGAAAGTTTTATCCAGAGTAATAATGCTAGTGCAATTCAGCGAAATATGATGTGACGGTTCATACTGTCAACTTGACAGGATCTAGAATCACTGAAGAGACAAACTGCTGGAAATGCCTGTGAGAGATTATCTGGATTAGGATAGGTGAAGTGGGAAGACCCACCCTAAATGTGGGTGGTACCTTCCATGGGCTAGGGTCCTGAGCAGAATAAAAAGGATAAAGTGAGCTGAGCACGAGCATTCATTGCTCTCTGCTTCCTGTCTGTGGATGAAAGGTGATCAGCTCCTTCCTGCTCCCACCACACTTCCCAAGCCATGATGGACTGCATTCCCTAGGACTGTAAGCAAAACTAAGCCTTTCCACTTAATGC